TTTCTCGCATTTCAAATCTTATGCTCTTTTTCTTTCTTTCCTTTCTTTATATATTGCAAAACAGCTGTATTTACACACACTCACTCATACAGGTTTCAATCCATTCTGGATCTCACTGGTAACGACTCTGCTACTGCCAGTTATGACTTCGAAAATCCGATCAACTTAGCCGAAGACGAAGGTGAAGATGATTGCGAAGTGCCTGGCGAGCTTGCAAGACTGTTACTCCAGGAAGATAGGGCAATTCAACCACATGAAGAGCCAGTGGAAACAATAAATCTGGGTACTGAGACGGACAAAAAGGAGGTAAAGATTGGTGCCAACCTAGAGCTCAGCGTGAAGCAACGGTTGACTCAGATGCTACATGATTATGTGGAGATCTTTGCCTGGTCCTACGAAGACATGCCCGGGTTGGATACCGACATTGTGGTCCATCATTTGCCTACCAAGGAAGACTGCCCTCCGGTTAAGCAAAAAGTCCGCCGTATGCGTCCAGAGATGTCTGAGAAGATCAAAGCCGAGGTTATGAAACAGTTTGATGCTGGGTTCCTTGTAGTGACTTCTTATCCTCAGTGGGTTGCTAATGTGGTGCCGGTACCAAAGAAAGATGGAAAGGTCAGAATGTGTGTCGACTACAGGGATCTGAACAGGGCCAGCCCCAAGGATGACTTCCCCCTACCTCACATTGATGTCCTTGTTGACAATACTGCTCAGCATAAGGTGTTCTCTTTCATGGATGGTTTCTCAGGGTATAATCAGATCAAGATGGCTCCTGAAGACATGGAAAAGACTACCTTTGTTACTCAGTGGGGCACCTTCTGCTACAAGGTCATGCCTTTTGGACTGAAAAATGCTGGGGCAACCTACCAACGTGCCATGGTTGCTTTATTTCATGACATGATCCATCATGAGATAGAAGTGTATGTTAACGACATGATCGCAAGGTCCCAGACTGAGGAAGAGCACCTAGATCATCTGCAGAAACTGTTTGACCGGTTGAAATTGTACAAGCTGAGGTTGAACCCGAACAAGTGCACCTTCGGGGTAAGGTCTGGAAAGTTGCTAGGCTTCGTTGTAAGTGATAAGGGTATTCAAGTGGACCCTGCTAAGGTTAAAGCTATTCAAGAGATGCCAGTTCCTAAGACAGAGAAAGAGGTCAGAGGCTTTCTAGGACGCCTGAATTATATTGCCTGATTCATCTCGCACCTAACTGCTACCTGTGAGCCAATCTTCAAGCTGCTAAAGAAAGATCAGGTAGTACGTTGGAATGATGAGTGTCGGGCTGCTTTTGACAGAATCAAGGAGTATCTCCAGGAACCACCCATCCTTATGCCACCGGTTGAGGGGAGACCTCTAATATTATACCTGACAGTGCTTGACAATTCAATGGGGTGTGTGCTGGGGCAGCATGACGAGCCTGGCCGAAAAGAGCATGCCATTTATTACCTTAGCAAAAAGTTTACCGACTGTGAGACCCGATACTCACTGCTTGAGAAAACTTGCTGCGCTTTGGTATGGGCTGCTCACCGGCTGAGACAGTATATGCTGACTCACACTACCTTGTTGATCTCAAAGATGGATCCTATAAAGTACATATTTGAAAAGCCTGCTCTGTCTGGGAGAATAGCAAGATGGAAAATGATCTTGACGGAATACGACATTCAATACACAACCCAGAAAGCCATCAAAGGGAGTATATTGGCAGACCACTTGGCACACCAGGCAGTAGACGACTATCAGTCAATGAACTTCGAGTTTCCAGACGAGAGTATCATGATTGTGACTGATTGTGAAGTACCTGGACCGGATGAAGGACTTGAGGAAGGATCCCGATGGTCTATGCACTTTGATGGAGCCTCCAATGCTTTGGGTAACAGTATCGGCGCTGTGATAATATCCCCTAAAGGCACTCATACTCCACTCACTGCCCGGCTATGTTTCAACTGCACCAACAACATGGCGGAGTATGAGGCATGCATCATGGGTCTCCAAGCTGCGATTGACTTAAGGATCAAGTTTCTGAGTGTCTTCGGAGATTCCGCTCTCGTGATCAATCAAATCAAAGGAGAGTGGGATACGAAACATCCGAATCTTATTCCTTACAGAGAATGTGTATAGACATTGATCCCCCACTTCACAGAGATAACTTTTGAACATTTCCCAAGAGAGGAGAATTAGTTAGCGGACGCGTTAGCTACGATGTCTTCTATGTTCAAGGTCAAATGGGACAATGAGGCTCCCCGGATCATCATCTGGAAACTGGACGAACCGGCATACTGTTGTGATCTCGAGACTGAATTGGTGACTGAGAAGCCTTGGTACCATGAGGTGAAGAGATATTTGGAAGCTCAGGAATACCCTGAAGGTGCGTCTGTCAACGATAAGAAGTTTCTGAGAAGGTTCGCAACGAAGTTCTTCCTTAGCAACGACATCCTGTATAAGCGAAACCATGATTCGACCTTACTGCGTTGTGTGGACAAGACAGAAGCAGAAAGGATCATGGAAGAGCTACATGAAGGGACCTTCGGAACACATTCCAGTGGACACACTATGGCGAAGAAAATCCTTCGGGCAGGGTATTTCTGGTCCACGATAGAAGCTGACTGTTACCAACATTCTCGGACATGCCATAAATGCCAGATATATGCAGACAAGGTGCATGTTCCTCCAGTTCCCCTAAATATTCTGACTGCGCCTTGGCCGTTTGCAATGTGGGGCATAGATATGATCGACGAGATTAAACCTACGGCATCCAATGGGCATCGCTTCATCCTGGTAGCGATCGATTACTTCACGAAGTGGGTTGAAGCGGCTTCCTACGCTACGGTAACCAAGACTGTTGTGGCACGGTTCATTCGGCTTAACCTGATCTGTCGATACGGCGTCCCAGAAAGGATCATTACTGACAACGGTACCAATCTCAATAACAAGATGATCACTGAGCTCTGCGAGCAGTTTAAGATACAGCACCACAACTCTTCTCCTTACAGACCGAAGATGAATGGGGCTGTAGAAGCAGCGAATAAAAATATCAAGAAAATTGTGCAGAAGATGACAGTGACTTATAAATATTGGCACGAGATGTTACCGTTCGCTCTACATGGGTACCGTACCTCAGCAAGGACGTCAACCGGGGCAACTCCTTTCTCCTTGGTCTACGGTATGGAGGCAGTCTTACCGATCGAAGTACAGATACCCTCTCTCCGGATAATGAAGGATGCAGATCTGAACGAAGATGATTGGATCCAGACACGACTTGATCAACTAAACCTTATTGACAAAAAGAGGCTTGCTGCTATTTGTCATGGTCAGACGTACCAAAAACAGATGATCAGGGCATTTAACAAAAAGGTCAGACCACAAGAATATCAAGTTGGGGATCTGGTAATCAAGTGAATCATCCTTCCTCAGAGTGATCCAAGGGGCAAATGGACCCCTACGCACGAAGGGCCATTTGTGGTTTAAAATGTGTTCTCAGGAGGAGCCATGATTCTAACCAACATGGATGGTGACGACCTTCCTCACCCCGCTAATGCAGACATAGTAAAAAGATACTACGCATGAAAAAGACCCGCTAGGTTGACATACCTAGGCAAAAATTAGGGCTTCCCGGCGAACCAAAAGGGTTCGGGCAAAATGAAGGGATGAAATGAAAAAATCTGTACACCCGGCAAGTTGAAAACCTGAAAAGGCGGCTTGGGCAAAAATGGGTATCCCGGTGGACTGAAAACCCGAAAGGGCGGTCCAGGCAAAAATTAGGGATAAAGCGTAAAACTATGTCTCATTGGATCACCTTGCATCCAGAATCCGGTATCTACATCAAGTTCAGACGGTAATGATCAATCAGCTTCATCTTCGGTTAGGTCATCAAGTGATGAGACGCTCAGAGATATAAGGGCAATAGCAGAGTTGGAACCCAGTGGATCATTCATTTCACACAGCTGTTTTATTTTCTTTTGTACAAACTTGTATAAATTCTCTTGTTCGGCGGCGTTCTCTTACTAGGACGTCAACCTCTTGTACATAAACGCCTATTTACAGGCAAATTCAAAATCAATACAAAAATCACCTTTCAGTTAAAATTGCCAATTGTTTTTCCTTTTCTGTTTTGTTTTGCGAAGAATGTCCAAGGTTCAATTTGTGATATATGCATTGACAATAATTTTCTAACTCATGAATAATTTGCATACGAAACAAAGGATTAATTACAGGTAACATTAGAAACAGGGGCAATAAAGAGTTGTCTAAGCAATCTAATTGTTCTGTCCTCCAAGGTATCAAGGTGAGTTCGGCTAAAGAACACAACCAGTATATCTTAATTCCCCAGAGAGTAAGCCAGCAAGTCAGTGCACTCTCCCCAAGCAAAGTTATACAATCAATCTTAAGGAAGTTGGGCAACCTCCAGCAGATCTCAACGTCCCCCAGCACGATATACAGACATTCCTAACAAGCATCCCCGGCAGTCTTGGTCTAAAGATTGTTCCCCGGCGGCTTATCAAACATTCAATGGAGTCACTTCCCCGATACAGTTCAAAACTTCCCCAAGAGAGTCCAATCCAGTTTCCCTAGGAAAGTTGGAATCTATCTCCCCAAGCAGTAAGCTTATCCCCAGTAGATTCTGGAAGCTTCTTCCCCGCAGAGCACGAACGCGTCCCCCGACTTTATTTAAAGAGTTATTGCCCTACAAGGATATACACTACAAGAAAATTAGTGTTTAACGACACAAAAATTGCGACAGTTATGTGATAACTGTCGTAATTGACATATAGAGACAGTGTTTACGACGGTAAAACAACCGTCGGCCCCCATTTAACACTTTTAACATTGATTTTTCACCAACAACTAGTCACGACGGTAAAATTAACCGTCCTAAAAGGCATATCACGACGGTAAAGCACCCGTCGCACCTTTAAACCTTTCACGACGGTAAAATTATCCGTCCTAAAATTCATTTCACGACGGTAAAACAACCGTCGCACCCAAAACCTTTAAAAATTCTCATGGGCACGACGGTAAAACACTCGTCGCCGTAAAAAAGTTAAAAAGCTCTTAAAAAGCTCTTATTCATTTCATTATTCTTGTTACAATTTTATTTTTACAGTGAACCCTTCATCTCTCTCCCGCGCAGCCTCTCACCCCCCAACCTTCAAACCCAGTTCTCCCTCAATCAAAACCCAACCACCAAAAACAAACAAAAAGCTAAAGATCTTACCCCTTTCGCGATTGCTTTATGACTTTCTGTCCGATTTGTTCTGATCTTCTTTCTCTCTTGATCCCAATACCAAATCATCGAGTTTGGAGCAAAACCCAAACTCCTCAATTCCAATCGAGTTTGGAGCAAAACCCATAGCGCCATCTCATCTCTTGCCAAATTGCACAACTCATCTGATCCTAATGAGCGAGAAGTTTGTGAAATTCTCAAGGGTTTGGGAGACAATGTTAAAGAAGTTGATGCGGAGCATGTTCTGCATAACATAACAAACCCTGAAATTGCGATTCTTGCTGTTAAATACTTCCAGAAGAAGATTGAACCGGAGAGACATGTTGTTCTTTACAATGTGTTGTTTAAGCTTTTTAGAGAAATTAATGATTTTGAAAAAGCAGAGAAGGTGTTTGAGGAAATGCTGCAGAGAGGAGTCAAGCCTGATGTTGTTACGTTTTCGACTTTGATTAGGTGTGCTTCTGTTTGTTCTCTGCCTCACAAATCCGTGGAGTTGTTTGAGAGGATGCCTTCTTTTGGGTGTGAGCCGGATCATAATGTGTCGTCGTCGATGATTTATGTTTATGCTCGCACAGGTAATGTTGATATGGCTTTGAAATTGTATGATGATGCGAAAAATGAGAAGTGGCCTGTTAGGGCAGTTGCATTCTCTGCTTTGATTAAGATGTATGGTGTGTTGGGAAACTATGATGGGTGTTTATAATGGCTTTGAGTGTTTATAATGATTTATGCAGCAAGTGTTTATAATGGCTTTGAGTGTTTATAATGGCTTTGAGTGTTTATAATGATTTATGCAGCAAGTGACTTGCTGTTACGATTTACTGACATTCAGTTTTTGTCGTTTTGATTTTCATAAAAGTTAAAAAAAAATATATTAATGGTTTTCTTTCATTGAAACAGGGATTACTTGCAATACAACTTACAGCTGTATTCAAGAATCTGCATCCACCATCCTGTGCAAAGGAAAGTAGCACATGCATTGGACCAACAGCGGGACAAATGACGTTTCTATTTTCTGGGTTTTGCTTACTCTTGATAGGTGCTGCAGGGATTCGACCGTGTAATTTAGCATTCGGTGTTGATCAATTCAATCCAAAAACAGAATCAGGAAAGAAAGGAATCAACAGTTTCTTCAATTGGTATTATTTCACCTTCACTTTTGCTCAGATGATTTCTTTGTCATTGATTGTGTATGTACAATCAAGTGTGAGCTGGGCAATTGGTCTTGGAATTCCTGCTGCATTGATGTTGTTAGCTTGTGTGTTATTTTTCATGGGTGATAAATTGTATGTTAAAGTAAAACCAAGTGGCAGTCCCATCAAAAGTATTGTACAAGTTTTAGTGGTTGCAGTCAAGAAAAGGAGAGTTAAACTACCTGCTCAGCATCCAATGCTTTCCCTCTTTGATTATGTGCCATCCAAGTGCGATTATCCAAAGCTTCCTCACACATATCAATTCAGGTAAATGCATCAATCTAATTTAAATTTATTTCCTAACATTGAAATTCAACATGATGATGGCTCTTAATCCTGCTGGTTGATTATCACGGTAATCATCTTTTCCTCACTTTTCAAATTTTTATTTATTTATTTATTGAGTTTGGTTTATTGGCTAAAGTAAGGCTAGAAGATGGTTTATTTCTGTCAAATACTTCAATAGTCAGTTAGTTTTCCTGGATGGAAATTTCTATCTTACCTGCATGGTTAATGTTCCTGGATTATTATCCTCTTCCCCATGGATAAGCAAGATAGGATTCTTAATTTTATTAGCGGACATGAAGGGACTCATCTCGACATAGGTATTAGTGGCCTCCCAAAGAGTTCTATCTTCATTCTACAGAAGAAAGTATTGTATAAGATGTAAGATATTCATTTCTAAAGACAACTCATGGAAAATACTATGCAATTGGAATAATAAAAATCGAGGCATTATATAGGTAGTACCTGAAAACCAAAAGGTGTAAGCGTTCTATTGTAAGCACCAGAACGAGCAATTCCACAACAAAAGAGATGAGGGGCGTGTGCTAGGAGGTTGGCAGTCATGAATGCACCATAGGAATGTCCACCAACAACTATTTTCTTTGGATGAGCTACCTAGAGGGGATAACCGAAAAATGCTTGATTCAAACGATATTTATATTGGATTGATAACTTAATCTACTACACAAGTAAAAACAAAAGCTTACCCCACGCCGGATAACTTCTTCCACAGCAGCCTCTGCACTTGCAACTAATTGCCCTACATAGCAGTAAGCTGAACCCCATCTTTTCTTTGATACCTGATCATCTCTTTCTGCAATGATGCAAGCTGAGGGAAATTTGTAACCTTAACTCTTTTTGCATTTGGCCAGCTAACAAAGTAATACTGGGTGTTCTCTGTTTTTGACTCTTTTGAAATCAGTATTTTCAGCTTATCTAACTGTAAATCCCCTTCTCCTTGATCCGACATTAGAAAAGTATCTAATTGTGCCCAAATATGTTGTTGGCTAAATGTGAATCAATAATTTGTATTCATACCCATAGCGGAGATCAAGCTTGTGTAATATCGAGATTGAAGGTAAAATTTTCATTCAACCTCTTCTTTTTCTTCCCTTTGCTTATCTACACAATGTCTGCATAAAAACAAACTGATTTCTAGTGAATCAACAACTAATGCTGTTTTAACAACTGAATCCATCAGCACTTATTGGTTTCTTGGTTCTTTAATACTAATCTAGCTCTAATTGCTTCTTCAACATTTAACCACAGGAACAAGTTGCTTATAATCACTACCATAATTCTAGGTAATTATTCATTCTCCTTACTTTTAAAATTTCTATTTCTAGCTTCAAATTATTTATGTTCAAAGATGTACTATATTGAGAGTTGATTGGTTCTTAGATGAAAATTACTTTTTTGTTTTATTTTACTATCTAGAATATTCCAAAATAACCTTGTCTTTCTCTAGTAGACTTTTCTCTTTCATTATACTCAGAGATTCACAAATCTGTTATGTAGTTGTAGGATACTACTCCTTTTAATGAGAACTACTAGTGGTGAAATAGTGGAGACTCTACCAAGATCCTTTCAGGTATATACATATAAATGAATAGCATTTGATTTCACTATTATGTTTATCAAAGGTGTTAGAACTTAGAACTAAGGATTCTATTAACAGGTACATAGTAAAATATGCATGGAATTGATGAGAATATTGGATGATATCATGAGGATATTTCCAGATATAGAGGATGCAAGACCAAAATGTTCATCAGGAATAGAATCTCTGGTTTATCTGAACAACTCAATTCAGAAAGCTAAACTACTTCTACAACATTGCTCTGAATGTAGCAAACTCTACCTGGTGTGTTTTCTTCTTCTCTAAAGCATATCTCAATAATAATTTTGTATAACTTTCTTAACAAGTAAGCTAAATATGACCACTACTTTCAGGCAGTGACAGGAGATACAGTACTTTTAAGATGCCAAAAAGCAAAAAAGTCATTAGAACAAAGCTTAATTCCCATTCAGAGTATGGTTCCAGTTGTGTTGGCTGTTGAGGTTAGTCAATTTTTTCTTCAAACGTTGTCTAATCTGACTTTTTATAAGTCAGTGATTATTCATAAAAACTAATGACTTATTGTAGTGGAAAAAATTCTATAAACAAGTTAATCCAAACTGAGTTTTATCTTTCCTGAAATGTGACATGCAGGTTTCTAGAATAGTTGATGATCTTGAGCGTGCTACATTTGTTCTGGACTCTGCTGAAGAAGAGGCTGGGAAAGTTTTAACAGAATTGCTTCAGCAAGGTACTTCGAACTTGGTTTCAGCGGAAGATTTTGAACTTAAAGCTCTTGAGTTTGCAGCACCGAGGCTGAATATAACATCACAAAAGGCCTTATTAATCGAGGGACGGTCTATTAAAAAGTTGCTAGATAAAATTGGACCAAATGACCAGAAAAAGAAATCGGTAGTTAATCGACCTGGTTTTCTTTGTAGACTTATAGTGTAAAGTTATTGATTCTTTCTTGTCACTAATTTATAATTTTATGTTGATGTTTGCAGTTGGTATCTTTGGATCTTTGTGGTCATATTTTTGTTGCTTAATATCCATGGTACGCTACAAGACTTGGCACTTTTGTTCTGTTTCTCAGTAGTTCTGCTGCATGCTAACCATATTTTCTACCTTAAGTATAATGGTTATTATTACCTGTAACAATGCTTTAAAAACTGCATTGAAACCCGTTCAGTTCAACCAGTTGAATCAAGAACTACCAGTTTGATGTGTAGTTTAATCTTGGTTATACCACAGTCTCGTTGAATTAACAATTATGTCATTGTCCAATCGAAACTAAGATTTATTTTTATTGTTTCAGGTTGACATGCATATTTCTGGATTGCATTCATTCTTATTATTGTAAGTATCTTTATAATTTTTATTTTCTTTTGGCTCTTTTCTCCATTCAAGTAAAGTTGATATATTTATTTTCCAATTTCTGTAGGACCATGATCCTTCCTAGAAGTTAGAAGTTTGTTTAAACTTGCCCTAAGATATTGCTTATGTTTTGTGTGAATCTTGCAGGCTGCTAGGTATGCGTAGCTTGGACCAAATGGTAGTCAAGGAAGGATCATGGTCCTAGCATGGAAGTTTAACACAAAATCACTTAACACTAAGGACTTTCATGAATTTTGTAGAATATTGTAACATTTTTTGTAATTCTCTCAAGTTGTAGCAAACCAATGTAAATATTAAAATGAAATTTGGCCTTTGATGATATTTGAATTTTTCTTGTTTATTGGTAAAATTTGCACTTCTTTTTACCTTTGATCACATTTTTTTTGATATTATTGATGATTATTTGATATTAAATGTTTTTATTGTAATTAACTTTATTATGTTGAAAAGTGATAGAAAATAAAATAAAAATACTATAAATAAAAAAATATTAAAGTAAATAATAATTTAAATATAATAGTAAAATATTATAGTAAAATAATATTATATTTAAAATTATTTTACTAAATAATAATTTAAATAAAAATATTATTTGAAATTTATAAATCAGATTACGACGGTTAAAACCGCCGCAATTTCTAACCTACGGCGGTAGAGTAACCGTCGCAAACAACAACAAAAACAAAAAATAAAGTCAAATTCACGACGGTATATAACCGTCGCTATCTGTTGTGCGTGACAGTTTTGCAACCGTCGCGAAATAGGCTGGGGACGCACGATTCTGCGACGGTACTTCTACCGTCGTAGATTGTAAATTGCGACGGTTTTAACCGTCGTAATCAGCCAAAATAACCGTCCCAATCTATCATTTTTCTTGTAGTGATAACTGGGTTATCCTCAGCCAAAAGCCACGGAAGATCGTCCTCGACGAAGTCTTCTTATCCCCAGCGAAGTCTATCAACACTTCCAACATAACAATGGTATCCCCAGCGAAGTTACCATCAACATCTCAGCAAAATACCTCTCTCCCCATAGAGTAGTGCTCCCCAGCAAGATCGTTAGAGTACTTTTCTCCCCGCAGAGTAATACATTCGCCAAGTCTATTCCCCAACGGAGTTACCTTCTCCTACCGGTATTCTTGCAACTATCATCCCCAGCGGAAGCAAAAATCTATTCTTCAACATCAGCCCAGGAGTGACTTCCCGGCACCCGTCAAGGATTTATTTTCCTAAGACGAAAAGATACATTCATAAACATCACATACATCATTATAGCATGCATATACGCATCATATCTTACAAATCTCATTCATGTTGAGAACATCATTGCTTGATCCATATCATGCATTGCATATGACTGACCTTTACCTTTCAGGAAAGATCCAGTTAAATTCTCAACTATACTTCAAGACCTTGACCGGTTCAGTTAAATCGACCCTAAGATTTTCCTGTTTCTTATCCAGTCAAGGGCCTTCTCTGGTTCAGTCAGATCGACCCTAAGATCTCCCTGTTTCTTATCCAGTTGAAGATTCCAAGACCTTGTCTGGTTCAGTTAAATTGATCCTAAGATTTTCCTGATTCTTATCCAGTCAAAGGCCTTCTCTGGTTCAGTCAGATCGACCCTAAGATCTCCCTGATTCTTATCTAATTGAAGATTCCAAGACCTTGTCCGGTTCAGTTAAATCGATCCTAAGATTTTCCTGATTCTTATCTAGTTGAAGATTCCAAGACCTTGTCCGGTTCAGTTAAATCGATCCTAAGATTTTCCTGATTCTTATCCAGTCAAAGGCCTTCTCTGGTTCAGTCAGATCGACCCTAAGATCTCCCTGATTCTTATCCAGTTGAAGATATTTCAAGACCTTGTCCGGTTCAGTTAAATCGACCCTAAGATTTTTCTGTTTCTTATCCAGTTAAAAGCCTTCTCTGGTTTAGTCAGATCGACCCTAAGATCTCCCTGTTTCTTATCCAGTTGAAGACATCCAAGATTCTCTCAGCGTTACTGTTGAGGTTGAAGTCGCCCAAGATTCTCTCAGCGTTACTGTTGAGGTAGTAATCGCCCTAGATTCTCTCATCATTACTGTTGAGGTAGTAATCGCCCCAGGTTCTCTCATCGTTACTGTTGAGGTAGTAATTGCCCCAGATTCTCTCATCGTTACTGTTGAGGTAGTAATCGCCTCAGGTTCTCTCATCGTTACTGTTGAGGTAGTAATCGCCCCAGATTCTCTCATCGTTACTGTTGAGGTAGTAATCGCCCCAGGTTCTCTCATCGTTACTGTTGAGGTAGTAATCGCCCCAGATTCTCTCATCGTTACTGTTGAGGTAGTAATCGCCCCAGGTTCTCTCGGCGTTACTGTGGAGGTAGTAATCGTCCCAAGATTCTCTCAGCGTTCCTGTTGAGGTAGTAATCATCCAAGGTTCTCTCACCGTTCCTGTTGAGGTAGTAACCATCCCGGGTTCATTCATCACCATTTGAAGCTCCAGATTCACTTCCTGTAACCAGTCAGGACACATCTATACAAAGAGTTTGAAGACCAACCCCTGTAAAAGGCCAGGTAATCATTTTCTTTTCAGGTACGCAAGCTCTCGCTAAGGAATCTCTTACGCGATCGACGCCCAGATGGAATCTATAAGCCCATCCATATATCCATCATCTCTTATCATGGCATCTATAAGCCCATCATCCTATTCATCAATCTCCAAATGGCATCTGTAAGCCCATTCCCCATCACACTACTATGTGAGCGCAAATTTCTGGGCACTCTAGTGTTCAATCATCTTCCACCTTCGGATTACGAAAGGCACGTCAGCCAATCTGCATCCTCAGGTCTAAGAAGATTGAACAGGGGCAACTGTTGTACCCCAAAATTTGCCCTCCCATATTCTTCAAGATTTGCAAAGAACATGCTTCAAAATCTCCTCAAGGGTTGCACAGTTCAAGGGCCTCCTAACAGTCAAAAAACTAGGGTTTTGATTCTGACAAAGAAAATAAAGTTTCCAAGGGTCCAAACAAGTCTCACATACCTATAAACATGGTCAAGCATCCTCATACCAAGTTTCAAGACTTACAGCAAAAAATTGCACAGTCAAAAACCCTAATTGCTCAGCAATCAACTACAGGGGCAAAATGGTCATTTGACAGTCAAAAGTTCAAATTTTTGGTCAACATCTTATTTTGAAGCCACAAACATCATTTGATCAATTCTTGATCATGATTTTCAAAGCATGGCTCAAAAAGTCTCAAGATGCAAAAGTTTCCATATTTGGACAGTTGAAAAAGTCAACTGTAACTTGACCAAGGCATAACTTCCACATGGTTCATTAGAAAAATTCCATCCAAAGCTCATTTTGAAGAGAAAGACATTTCCTACAACTCCTCTTCACACTTCAAGTCCAAGAAATGCTCTCACAAAAAGTTATCAATTTCAACATTATAGGTCATTTTCAAAAGTCAACAAAAATGGACTTTAAGTCAAAGACCATAACTTGAGATTGGTAAATAAAAATGACATGGTACCAAAGGCATTGGTTAGAGGACTTCAAGACCCTTCCAAAATGTCCAAGAACATGATTAAAGCTTAAAAATTGAGCAAGATATGCCTTGTGGAAGTTGGGAAATTTTTGGGAATTTTGAAAAGTCAACTTTGCTTCAAATGCCTTAAAATTGCTAATGGGCCACATTTTCTTCCAAGATTCATCATCCAAAGGCTATGCACGACCATTTGGCCCAAAGGGGATTTATTTCATCATTTTTCATTATTTATTTGAATTTTTATCCATATTAATTCATTTAATTAATTAAAATATGAAAAAAATGCTAAACAAATGTACTTGAATCTTTTTATGCAGCATTTGCTCTCCTTAAAGGCTCAAGATTCGTGCACACCCAAAATTGGAAAGATTGGCCATGATTGGAATCAAAAACACATGGAAAAATATTTGAAAATATGCCATGAAAATCAAATATCTCTTTCATCAATGCAAGGATCTTTTGGTTCAAAATTCAACCCTAATCCATCCCATACATAAGCCAGAAGCTAGACCTAATGCAAAGGACCTGAAAAGCTGCGCTCAAAACCTCTTATACACTTTGCACTTTTTGTGAAATTTTTCAAAACTGAAAACACCATTCCAAAGCGTTTCAAGGCAAGAGGACCATTCCATTACCTTTCTGAGATATCAAGGGAGCTTCCTGAATCAAAATCATCACCTCTAACATCAGGAAACGGTAGAATCAAGTGGTCCTGTTTCAAATTTTATACATATTCGTGTTTCAATTTATAAGCATTTTCATTGCATTCTTTCTGTTGATTTAGACTAATCTAACCATTCTAAAGCTAATGATGTCATTTAATTGGATTTTCATGCCTTGTACAAGAACCTACCATTAATGTCTTTTAGGGTTGCAGAGGTTTAAATTTGGGGTTTCTCTTGTCCAGAAAAATTAGACCACGAGACCAAGACTATTGGATTCAGAAACTTCACGCGAATTGAACACACAAGTCGCGCTCAATTTATGAGCAACCAGGGCCTATTCGCTATTATTTTGTTCATCATTTAGTGGGGGTTTAAAACCCCCGCTATCTCTTTTTATTTTACAGGCAATTGAAGAAGAAGACAGACGTGTCCATGGCTTACAGGCTCATTTGAATTTCGCGCGAAATACCCACTAATCGTTTGTTTTACCTTATATTCATTATTTTCTATATTATATACAGCGCGTTGAAGCAGCTCAGTTGGTGGAATGTTGTGTTGGCAAGCTTTGGGACCTGGGTTCGATTCCCAGGTCCCCTCCTCTCTCCATATTATTTTTTTGACCATGTTTGCATGTAGCGTTCTCTCCAGGGGTTCATCATACACCCACCATCCAGGCTTGCCACTTGGCCAATAATCTCAATCCAATGGTCCAGATCCAAAGCCTATGGAATGATTCAGTCAATGCATATGCGCGTGACCACCAAAAGTCAAAGGGGCCTCCAATGATGGGCCAGAATTGCTGGACAATACCTCCAGATTGGGGCAGAACCCCCCTAGTGTATTATATTTCTTTCTCTTTTTCTTTCTTCTATTTTCTTTATTATTTGTTTTAATTCAATTGTTTTCTTTTAATTCATTAAAAATAAATTTTATAAAAATACCAAAAATCAGAAAGATAAAAATAAAATATATTTTATTTAATGTTATTTTG